GCCTCTAACTCCTGTTTCTCTAGAGCAATTTTAGTTTCAAACTCCTTTTCTTTTAATAGAAGCTCCCTCTCTTCTATAGATTTCTCCTCGCGGAGCAACACACTAGCTAACAAACTTTCGTCAAATACTCCTTCATTAATGAAATGAACAACAATTTTATCTCTCAACACCTCTGACTTCTGCGTAACAGAATAATCCAATTTCAATTCCTTAACAACACTAACCAAAACTTTTCTACTCAACTTTTCTACATCTTCAACAGTAGGATTAGCCAAAAAAGACTCCATAACACTACTTGAAAATCACAACAAGCCTAGATTCTTTAAATTACTACACAGCGTTGGGCCGTGTACTTGACCTCTAAATGTAGGACGTGACACGTCTGCTTATTTGACCTAGATACTCTAGCCTGAGCGCGCGTTGCAAGAACACTGCGCTACTGGATATAAAAACAACTAAATCCAACTAACCTTAGTATTCAACTGATATAACCAACAACTGGAACGACAGATTAAATCTCGGCGAGCTCCCACTTTGTAACGTTAACCTTTCTATCAGCCAAATAGAAGGAGAACGTCCCCGGATTCTTTTTTCGGGGTCATATGCAAATGCCTTACGGCCTAAGTGGATGAACACTTAACACAACGACCACTAGGGCTCGAAATTAATGTCTAGGGGAGCTAGTGATACTATTGTAATTAACACTCATCCAATCTACATACGACCATTTAATCAGCGAACTCAGATGTGGCAAAACACCAAGATGAACGAGATAAAATATTTAATGTATAAAATATCAAAAACCCAACTTACACAATGTAGGAAAAAACACTATCACAGATTTCTACACTGTCTAAAGAACAGCTACAGGCCACACAACACTGCTGTAGCTTCAAGACTTACTTAGCGACAAGTAATATTAAACTAGAAGACTAAATCATCTGAAGAAAGCAAGGCACACACAGGTCTTAAGTACTCTCACGTTCAAATGGTCAGAGTCTATAGCCGGACAATATGGACGGCTGCCTGACTAAGGTAAAACGGCCTCGTAGACTGCCAGGTCAAGAAAAACTGCCTCGTGTTGCGAGTGTGCAGTGCAATTAAAGACTTCTGTGACAGGGGAGGTTATCCTCAACTCATGTCGCCATTGGTTGGGATAATCATCTGATCAGAATCATTCAATCAGATTTTAATGGAAAATTTCTATGTCTCAAACACCTTAATAAGTCAGTGGAAAAACCCCAGGTGTTACACCATCATTCCATATAAGGAATTATACAATGTCAAAAATAAAAATGACTCGACCTAAGTAGGTCACACCTCTGTTTTCCCCATAAAATACAAAGATTATATAGGGAAATACGACTGGTCAGTTTTGACCCATTTCCCGATTTTTCCCGGACATGGCGAGTTTTTTGTGACACCCTAAGGCGTTCTCCTACCACCTCACAAAATATCAAGGGGGGTCGTCGGAGGAATTTTTTTTTCGTAATAGAGCTCATATAAAGAGAATTTCACTCGCGGTCACTTTTTAGCCCTCGTCGAGGGCTTTGAGTGTAACCGACAGTTTTCCCTAAAGGTCAAGCCATTTACCTATAAGCATGCCAAAACTGAGCCAGATGTAAAGAGGGTAAGTGCCATAAAATCCGTTTTGAAATGACCCTCTGTTTTCCCCATAAAATACAAAGATTATATAGAGAAATACGACTGGTCAGTTTTGACCCATTTCCCGATTTTTCCCGGACATGGCGAGTTTTTTGTGACACCCCAAGGCGTTCTCCTACCACCTCACAAAATATCAAGGGGGGTCGTCGGAGGAATTTTTTTTTCGTAATACAGCTCATATAAAGAGAATTTCACTCGCGGTCACTTTTTAGCCCTCGTCGAGGGCTTTGAGTGTAACCGACAGTTTTCCCTAAAGGTCAAGCCATTGACCTAGGAGCATGCAAAAAATTAGCCAGATATACTGAGCTTAAGTATCCTAAAGTCTACGTTGAAATGACCCTCTGTTTTTCCCATAAAATACAAAGATTATATAGGGAAATACAACTGGTCAGTTTTGACCCCTTTACGAAGTTTTCCCAGATATGCCGAGTTTTTTGTGACACCCCAAGGTGTTCTCCTACCACCTCACAAAATTTCAAGGGGGGTCGTCGGAGGAAATTTTTTTTCGTAATAGAGCTCATATAAAGAGAATTTCACTCGCGGTCACTTTTTAGCCCTCGTCGAGGGCTTTGAGTGTAACCGACAGTTTTCCCTAAAGGTCAAGCCATTGACCTAGGAGCATGCAAAAAATTAGCCAGATATACTGAGCTTAAGTATCCTAAAGTCTGCGTTGAAATGACCCTCTGTTTTTCCCATAAAATACAAAGATTATATAGGGAAATACAACTGGTCAGTTTTGACCCCTTTACGAAGTTTTCCCAGATATGCCGAGTTTTTTGTGACACCCCAAGGTGTTCTCCTACCACCTCACAAAATTTCAAGGGGGGTCGTCGGAGGAATTTTTTTTTCGTAATAGAGCTCATATAAAGAGAATTTCACTCGCGGTCACTTTTAAGCCCTCGTCGAGGGCTTTGAGTGTAACCGACAGTTTTCCCTAAAGGTCAAGCCATTGACCTAGGAGCATGCAAAAACTTAGCCAGATATACTGAGCTTAAGTACCCTAAAGTCTGCGTTGAAATGACCCTCTGTTTTTCCCATAAAATACAAAGATTATATAGGGAAATACAACTGGTCAGTTTTGACCCCTTTACGAAGTTTTCCCAGATATGCCGAGTTTTTTGTGACACCCCAAGGTGTTCTCCTACCACCTCACAAAATTTCAAGGGGGGTCGTCGGAGGAATTTTTTTTTCGTAATATAGCCCATATAAGGCGCCGGTCAGTCGAGGTCAGTTTTGACCCCCTCTCCGTAGACTTTTTGCCGAACCGTCACCGGCCCTCGTGTTCTATCGCCATAAGGCACCTTCGTGCCAAATTTGACGCGCCTGCGGCGCCGGGAAGTGCCCTATCGGGCACCCGACCACTTTGCTTTATATATATAGATACAATATTATGCTATACGAGAATACAATGTTGTGCATTTTATTCTCTCTGGCCCTTCCGGTTTACTTTAAGGAGAGGTTGGGGCCGTTTTTTTAAAATATTTGAATTAATAAAAGAATTCTTAACAGCTTATATTCGATACATAAATATATAAATGAGTGTTATCGATGGTTCCCGAACGGCTCTAACTTTTGCAAATGTAGCTATGATTTTATCACTTCCTTTATTTTTTAACGATTTTTTTTTCAAAAAATTAGTATGATTACATAGACTTTTCATGCCTATAATAAAAGTTCAGAACAAAGTCTTTGGTTTTTACAAAAATAAAAAAATATACATTCACCGCCTCAATGACTTCACTGTAATTCAGGCATATGAGTTTCTATACTAAACTATTTCAGGCCTTTAATGTGTTATAAAAACATTTGTTTAGCAATGGAATTGACTAAATTAGGATATAAATTATTATAAAATAATGCTCGCGTAATTTAACTGTATTATATAATTTTTTTCTTACGGGGAGGGGGGGGGATTAGGTGCCGCACCGGGTGACACCCGACCTCGCTACGCCACTGCTCTACGTGACTTTGACCGTCTCATGTTTGGGGAAGAAAAAATCGGATACTGACTGTTTTTAATAAGGTGTCTTCCAATAATAACTTCACCCTCAAAGGATGGGGGGGGGGGGGGGAATCCGTAGTTTTGTAACGAGTGAGGACGGGGAGGGGGGGGTCAGATCATGTGACGACGTATTTTTTGTATTTTAAAAAAGTCATGTTAGAAATTTAATTTTAGCCGCCATTATGCGTTTTAGAAAACTGTTTATAAACAAATGTAATAGAAATTGATTAAAATACCTATGTTAGTCGAGCTCAGTCAAGATCTTAGAAAAAAAATCGATGTTTAAAAATAAAATTCGGTTTTGAGGAAATATGATTTGAGAGGGAGTCTTGCTTTTGTGACAGAGAGGATAGGGAAGGTTAAAATCATCAAACAAACGTGACGTCGTTTATGGACGACACCTAACAATTTACAGCTATTCCCAAAACATAAAAAAACGACGTGCCTTGGCTATCAAAATGGTTAACTTTGGTTCACATATAAAACCCTTTCTAATTTCAGCTAATCTGGTCCATTTCATTTTCCATCACATGAACTTTCAAATGACAATTAATCTAAATCCAGGCTCTTTACAGTTGAAAACTAACATTTTTACTATTCCAATATTTAAAAGAATATAAGGCATAATTTAAAATTGAAAACAAGAGTAGAACAGGACTAGATTCGTACAATTTAAATTAGCTTAATGTTAAAATAAAACTTAATTTTCACTTTTGTTACATTGTAAAAAAATAAAGTTGTTTATAAGGTAACCATTAAATCGCAATTAAACAAGACTTTCAATGTTATTTTAGAGTAACATAACCTTCTTTTATTTAAAATATTAGCTATATCAAACAATAAATTAGTGCAGTAACAGTGTCCTCCTGTGTGAGACTCCTTTAACTGAGATTTTAAAAAAAGATAAAACATATTAGGTTCTTGTCCGAAGAAAATTTCCCAATTTTCTTTACCTGTCTGGTCACATTCCGGATTAGGGTGGACAAACTAGCGCCCCAACATCTAAGGACAAACTAGCGCCCCAACATCTAAGATGGGGCGCCTCGGGGGTAGTGAGGACAAACAGCGCCCCAAAAACTAAGATCCAAGAAATAAAGTGCCGACATTGTTTACATTAAATTATCACTATTCTAGAAAAAAGGCAAACGTCTTAAATAAATACACGATTGCTATGATGTCTGATAAAACAGCTGCAACGGTTTGGTGTGTATGACTAGATTTCGAGAGCCCATACTTCGCGCTTGGATGCATGTATGTGATAAGCTAACTTAAAAACAACAACTCCAATAGCATTAGTTAATAGATTTATAGTCTATTCGTTATTTGCTTTCAGTCGTCAACAGTTTCAAGAAAAGATACACGCAATTCCACAAACGATTAACAGACTTTATTACCGGGATGGACAATAATACGTACCTGAAAAATTTAAATTTGACCCAGAAACAAATGATAGACACTGTGAAAAAAACACTAAAGGACTTTCCTCTAAATGACACTTCGTTCACATATCAAAGCACGCTCGTGTTAAGTAAAAAATGGACTGACTTATCTGAAGCTGCTGGGAGCTATTTAGACGTGCTGCCCTCTTTAATCAAACCGCAGCCCGAAAAACAGCTGTCTTTGTTGCAGAACCTAATCTCGATGCTGAAGTCAGACATCTTTTTGACGACGTCTTATGCTATTCAGCTTAACTTCGCTTAGGATGTTTCAAAAGATAAACATTAGCTACTGGATCATTTCTGTGTAAGTTCGTTGTAGCAATGGCAATTTTGATCTGTCATATACATACATACATGAATACATACATACATAAAAACATGCATAAGTATGAACACGCACATGCATGCACACACATTCAAACATAAAGCTAAAATGTATACATAATAATGCACAGCCTGCATATGAATATATATATATATATATATATATATATATATATATATATATATATATATATATATATATATATATTAATGGACATCCCAGAATAAGTTGTCTCACACCAATCATCTATATGCTACTAAAATTCAAGTTTGTATAATAATTTTTAAATATTTTTTTTGTTGTTGTTTGTTTTTTTTTTGTTGTTTTTCTCTGTTTGGTTACAGGAGAGAATCTGCACTATGTGTAGATCTGTAAAATACGTATTTAGGTAAAGAACAATGTTCTTTTTTACCAAACTGTTAATCACAAAATAAATAAACCACGTGTGGTTCTTATTTTGTAAAGAAATTGTGATTTAATTTCACAAATACATTTTTTATGAAATTTTTAAGCTTCAGACCTCATTGGCCGATTGTAGGAAAAATGTCACAGGAAAAAAGTCGGATACTTTTATGTATTATGTTAATGAACTTACGATTAATTAAATGCAATGTAATCATTTTTCATTTGAATTTATTTTGTAATATTTATAACACATAACAATTTTTAGTATACAGTTTGTAGGTTTTAATTGTAACTCCGTGTTACATATAACGTTTAATAAAAATTAAAATAATGTTCGAACCAAAAAAAAGGATAACTTTTTTAGAAAATTTCAAAGTTCAATTTTTTTTGGTCTGACTTTGAAAAATTCTTTAAAAATTCAAAATTTGTCACAATGGGTATCTTCTAGTTCCAACGATAGGCTACCCTTAATTTAAAGACGTTAATTAATTTATTGAAATATTCATTGGAAGATTAACCACTTTAATTATAAAAGTTCAGAACAATGACTTTACTTATAGTCACGTCACATTATTTATTTACTTTTTCTACCCATTTTGGAGCACTCAAAAGCAGCCACCACGCCCTCAAAGCACTAAGAACGAACAATAAGCAAAACAGAACTCACAACCACCTCCATCCCATGCACTAACAACCGGAAATGTACCATCTACAATGACAACCCACAATACATCCCATTCTAAGTTGTCAGGCAACAATCCGAAAATCACCACTACAAGAATACAACAACATTTCAGGCAACAGAGCTATCAGCGTCGAAACCACCAACAATGACCCTAATGCCGAAAGACAAACAAACAGTCTAAACATCGATTACACTGGAGGCAACAGCCATGAAGCTAACAATATAGCTAATCAATGTTACAACTGCAAGTTCCAGTAAAACACAGACTTAAAAAGCAGTGGACACCATCACATCAACAAATAGAAAACAAATGAACATAGCCCTACACCAGAACAGTGGAAAACAAGGAAGGCAAACATTTACTATAAAATTACTAATTCAGTACCCGAGATAACCCCCCGTACCCCTTCTGAACAACAGCACCACAAAAAGGGAAAACAGCAGCACCACAAAAAGGGAAAGCAGCAGCACCACAAAAAGGGAAAGCAGCAGCACCACAAAAAGGGGAAGAAGTTGACCCAAGCATTAGCCAAAATAAAGAAACCACAACAAAAATTAACGAAAACACACTCATATAACCAGAGAATTTACACCAGTCAAGTAGCTCGTCCAAAACATCAAAGGAAATTAGTCTAAAATCCCAAGAAGAGGAACCATACAAGCAAGTGCACAGTTACACAAAATGCAAATACTTTGCCAGCCTGTACAAAGTAACCGCAGAAGCGGAATGCCATGAACATAGTACACAAAGACCTCAAACAATGCAGTCTTTGCGATGACATAAATAATTCACACCGACATAGAGAAGCAACACGCACAAAAACATCCCAACGCAAGTGCCTTCAAATGTGCCTACTGCAACACAATACAGCCACTGGAAAAATGAATTAAGATGTTCTTAAAGCACCACCATTCGTAGGCAAAACAAGGATAAAATATACTACAGAATCACCAAAGACACTTAAAGACTGCATAACATACATCTACAGCGGAGTTCTAGAATATGAACGCTAACACTTCACCTTACCAACTCAACTTTTCTTTCATTTCAGACGTTTTGTATTCGTTCCCCACCAGAAGAAACATATCAATAGATGTATTCATAACTCCCTCCCCACTTTTTAATTAGTTAATTGCATTGACCTCACTGCAGCTACCATTTGTTTTTATCTCTCCCCACTTTTTACCAGTTGTCAAATGTTTTGTTTTTTTAGAAAATGATATAAATAATACTAGTAATAGGAATATGATAATGTTTTAATGTATAAATGATGTTTTATTTTCTTTTCATGCACAATTGCTATTACCGCTTGAACCTCTTACTAGAGTAGGCAGGCGGTGAGAGAGAATTAATATTAAACGGAAAAAATTGATTGAGCTTAAGTAAAAATGAGCCACATGTTTGAGCTTATATATATATATATATATATATATATATATATATATATATATATATATATATATATATATATATATATATATATATATATATGTATATGTATATATATATATATATATATATATATATATATATATGGGCGGCGCAAAAATTCAAAGTTTGCCCGGACAACGAAAGGAGTTGCTACACTTGTTTTGATCTATGACGACTGGATGACGACAGACAGAGGAAGCAAGTGAAATAAAAACTTGTAAAAATATGTTTTGTAATCCAATTAAGTCAAATTCAATGTCATTTTGCATTCTCATCAGGTAGGGCCAAACTTCACTCTACTGTTGAGATTTCGACAGACAGGATTGAGACAGACAGAAAAAGCAAGTTAAATAAAAGTTTGCAAAAATAGTGGGTCTTTGTTATTATCTTTCCATTTATTTGATTCAAAAAGGACGAGAAGATATGAAAAAACTAACAACATTAATCCGTGATAAACTAACTTCATGCCACATTTCTTGTAAAAAAACACTTTGGTCAAAGTTTTTTTTTTTTCGGCGAAAGGCTGCATAAGTTTTATGCTTAATGTTGACAGAGTTGGTATAATGTGTCTAGGTCACTGCTGGTAAAAATGTGTCTATGATATGCAAGCTTAATGCACATGCAGTCAAATAACAAGTCTTTTTTTCTGTAATCACGGATCTGTAGGCCTACGCTGTCCACTACATACATACAGATGAAAGAATTGAACTTAGATATTCGAGGAAGTTAACTCCCACTTTGTTTATCACTTACATCTAGATCAAAACATTACCCTGTGTGGCGATGTGTAGAGGAAGGTACCTTGTATCACACTTCTCAATAATGTCATTCAAGGAAACTTGACTAGACTTCGTCAACCTCTCACGTACAAAGAATGTAGTATATTTTATCGAATAGGACTGTTGTTTTATGCTTCGTTAAAAAGAAAGCTTCTCACAATCGACACTCACATACATGTATAAAAAAATATGTAAACTTTAACACCAGACTCTTCTTATAGAATAACACATTTAGTCTCTAAACTAAGAAATTTAGAATGTAATACATAGAATAAATCATTTATCACTGTAGACTTCACATAGAAGAAAACACCTAACATTATACACTACACATAAAACATCTACCACTATACATAAAACATGTACCACTACACATAAAACATCTACCACTACACGTAAAACATCTACCACTACCCATAAAACATCTACCACTACACATAAAACATCTACCACTACACGTAAAACATCTACCACTACACATAAAACATCTACCACTACACATAAAACATCTACCACTACACATAAAACATCTACCACTACACGTAAAACATCTACCACTACACATAAAACATCTACCACTACACATAAAACATCTACCACTACACATAAAACATCTACCACTACACATAAAACATCTACCACTACACATAAAACATCTATCACTGCACATAAAACACTTATCACTAACACTACATATAAAACATCTAACACTACACATAAAACAGCTATCACTGCACATAAAACAGCTATCACTAACACTACACGTAAAACATCTACCACTACACGTGAAACATCTACCATAATACATAAAACATCTACCACTACACATAAAACATCTACCACTAGGCTAACTTATTACTAGTATTTTGCTGCTGTCCGTTTGTCGATCGCCACTGGCCATCAATAACGGATGGCCTGTTCCCGTCTAATCAAGTTCTGTGTTGATGAGAACAAACAGCCCGCTCCATATTTCATTAGCTGTGTAGCCAGTCTAGGGCCTATAACTCTGTCTAACGTAAGACGGGATAAAGTACTGGGTAAAAAAACACGGTTATCTCTCTTTTATCGGCTATTTCCTATGTCATTAATTCTAGAAAAAAAAAATGAATGTCACTTGAGTGGGTAATCGCCTCACACCCTAGTAGCGGATTTAAGGGGGGGGGGGCTGAAAGGACTGCAGTCAGTGGCCCCCGATTTTTGCGGGGCCCCCAAATTTGCTGGTTAATTGTTAGTTATCACTATGAAAATAAAATGTTTAATGTTTGCATCACAAGATTCAATTTTTTGTTTCAAAATATCTAAAACGTGCACACACTGAAGTATAATAATACATAGGAGCTGTCATCACCTCCTACCCGGGCATTGTTTAAAAAGCCGACGCTCCCTAAAATAACGCAGTACGCATCAACAGTAATAGCTTGAATTTAAAGTAATTAAAAATTTTAAGGAATTTCATTCAAGTAATGGGGATATATTTTGTCCTGGTATCTTTTGTATGTGAGATCAATTGTCCTTGAGATCATTTGTCCTGAGATCATTTGTCCGTGAGATACTTTGTCTGAGATATTTTGTCTGCGATCATTTGTCCTGCCACCTTGAAATGTGATGGCATTAGGCTTGGTGGTTGTTGTGGCCTCTGGAAGATGACAGACTGGTGAGCTAGCTACAAATAGAACTGGTGTTGGCGTGACGATGGTTGTACAGTCACCGTGGGGTAATGGAAGAAATGGGTGTACATTTTAGTCTGTTTTGTCAAGGGAGGTAACAAAAGGGTGTACATTTTAGCCTTTTTTGTTAAGGGAGGTAAGAAATGGGTGTACATTTTAGCCTTTTTTGTTAAGGGAGGTAAGAAAGGGGTGTACATTTTAGCCTTTTTTGTTAAGGGAGGTAAGAAATGGGTGTACATTTTAGCCTTTTTTGTTAAGGGAGGTAACAAAAGGGTGTACATTTTAGTCTGTTTTGTCAAGGGAGGTAATAAATGGTTGTATATTTTAGTCTGTTTTGTTAAAGGAGGTAAGAAATGGGTGTACATTTTAATCTGTTTTGTCAAGGGAGGTAACCGATGTGAACACGATTTTAAAAACAAAAGAATTCTGTGTAGCCTCCCTGTACTACTATTAAAATTATATTTTTGTTTACTGTGATAAATTGCAGGGTAGATAAAATGGTCGATAGCTGGACTTTGGTCATTTCTGCATCAGCCGTCCACTGTTGAACTACCTTAGACTAGTATCGTCGCTCTGCCCTCCTCAAGTTAAACATGTTACCAACTGCTAACTTATTGGCGACCTAACATTTACTGCTTGTTAACTACTGTTAAAATCCCAACTAACTACCTGTTCTATCCCAACTACCTACCTGTTCTATCCCAGCCACCAACCTGTTCTATCCCAGCTACCTACCTGTTCTATCCCAACTACCTCCCTGTTCTATCCCAGCTACCTCCCTGTTCTATCCCAGCTACCTACCTGCTCTATCCCAGCTACCTACTTGTTCTATCCCAGCCACCTACCTGTTCTATCCCAACTACCTACCTGTTCTATCCCAACTACCTACCTGTTCTATCCCAACTACCTACCTGTTCTATCCCAACTACCTCCCTGTTCTATCCCAGCTACCTATCTGTTCTATCCCAACTACCTACCTGTTCTATCCCAGCTACCTACCTGTTCTATCCCAACTACCTACCTGTTCTTTCCCAACTACCTACCTGTTATATCCCACCTACCTGTTCTATCCCAGCTACCTACCTGTTCTATCCCAACTACCTACCTGTTCTTTCCCAACTACCTACCTGTTCTATCCCAACTACCTACCTGTTCTATCAAAGCTGCCTACCTGTTCTATCCCAGCCACCTACCTGTTCTATCCCAACTACCTACCTGTTCTATCCCAACTACCTCCCTGTTCTATCCCAGCTACCTACTTGTTATATCCCATCTACCTACCTGTTCTATCCCAGCTACCTACCTGTTCTATCCCAACTACCTACCTGTTCTATCCCAGCTACCTACCTGTTCTATCCCAGCTACCTACCTGTTCTATCCCAGCTACCTAACTGTTCTATCCCAGCTACCTAACTGTTCTATCCCAACTACCTACCTGTTGTATCCCAACTACCTACCTGTTCTATCAAAGCTGCCTACCTGTTCCATCCCAGCCACCTACCTGTTCTATCCCAACAACCTACCTGTTCTATCCCAACTACCTACCTGTTCTATCCCACCTACCTACCTGTTCTATCCCGGCTAAACTACCTGTTCTATCCCAGCTACCTACCTGTTCTATCCCAACTACCTACCTGTGCTATCCCAGCTACCTACCTGTTCTATCCCAACTACCTACCTGTTCTATCCCAGCTACCTCCCTGTTCTATCTCAGCTACCTACCTGTTCTATCCCAACTACCTCCCTGTTCTATCCCAGCTACCTCCCTGTTCTATCCCAGCTACCTACCTGTTCTATCCCAGCTACCTACTTGTTCTATCCCAGCCACCTACCTGTTCTATCCCAACTACCTACCTGTTCTATCCCAACTACCTACCTGTTCTATCCCAACTACCTCCCTGTTCTATCCCAGCTACCTACCTGTTCTATCCCAACTACCTACCTGTTCTATCCCAACTACCTACCTGTTCTATCCCACCTACCTGTTCTATCCCAACTACCTCCCTGTTCTATCCCAACTACCTACCTGTTCTATCCCAACTACCTCCCTGTTCTATCCCAGCTACCTACCTGTTCTATCCCAACTACCTACCTGTTCTATCCCAGCTACCTACCTGTTCTATCCCAACTATCTATCTGTTCTATTCCAACTACCTACCTGTTCTTTCCCAACTACCTACCTGTTGTATCCCAACTACCTACCTGTTCTATCAAAGCTGCCTACCTGTTCTATCCCAGCCACCTACCTGTTCTATCCCAACAACCTACCTGTTCTATCCCAACTACCTACCTGTTGTATCCCAACTACCTACCTGTTCTATCCCAACTACCTACCTGTTCTATCCCAACTACCTATCTGTTCTATCCCAGCTACCTACCTGTTCTATCCCAGCCACCTACCTGTTCTATCCCAACTACTTACCTGTTCTATCCTAGCCACCTCCCTGTTCTATCCCAGCTACCTCCCTGTTCTATCCCAACTACCTCCCTGTTTTATCCCAGCTACCTACCTGTTCTATCCCAGCTACCTACCTGTTCTATCCCAGCTACCTACTTGTTCTATCCCAGCCACCTACCTGTTCTATCCCACCTACCTACCTGTTCTATCCCACCTACCTACCTGTTCTATCCCGGCTAACCTACCTGTTCTATCCCAACTACCTACCTGTTCTATCCCAGCCACCTACCTGTTCTATCCCAGCTACCTACCTGTTCTATCCCAACTACCTACCTGTTCTATCCCAACTACCTACCTGTTCTATCCCGGCTACCTGCCTGTTCTATCCCAACTACCTACCTGTTCTATCCCGGCTAACTTACCTGTTCTATCCCAGCCACCTGCCTGTCATATCCCATTTATCTACCTGTTACTTACTTATTATCTGCGTAAGAACCTGTTATCTACCTGTGTGTTACCTCCCCCTTTCATCTCACCTGACAGACCCATGCACCAATGACTTTCTTCTATTTTTAGCTCTCCACGCCCGGCTGATTGTGAGCTCAAAATTTCTCCGTGGCTTCGATAAGAGAATCATTTTTTCCGTCGAGACATTCAAGCGGCTGAGTTAAAAAAAAAACACTGCTGGTTTTAAACGGAAGGTGAGCGCCTGTGTAGGCGGAATTTCAAGTGGTGGATAGGGTTTGTTGATGGACTTTACTGTCGGGCAGACAAATTTATCCGCTTGTAAACTTTTCAGTCAGACAGACATGCATGTCTGCCTGTGACTTGCAGACAGACAGACCAATGCGATTGTATACCCGACAGCCTTATATAAAAACACAAATCTCCTCTTATAATTTCTTTTTTACTTGAAATTTACGACTGTGTAAATTTTCTCCAATCTAATTAAAGACTGAATAAAAAAGCTTTGATATAGACTTACTCAAGTTTTTTAAATCTAATTTAACCTTCAGAAACGACACTGAAACATGAGATCGACAACCTTTCAATACTCAAGCAGCAGGGGCGCTTCTAACATGGAGGGAAAGTGTGAGGGGGCGCCCATTACCATCTGAAAGTAATTTTCTCAAACACGACATAAGGATTACAATTTTCATCTGTCAGGTGTGATGTGTATGCCGAAGCAACGTCACTTAGCGATCATCATTTGCAGTGTTTCTTCCAGACTTTTTTATCCGGGGGGGGGGGGGCACTTGAAATTTTCGAGGGGAGCGGACAAAATTTTCCGGGGGGTGGGGGGCGGTCACTGTTAAACGTATATATTTTCTATGTAAATTCCATTTTGTTCGGGGGGCGGTAGACTTTCTTCAGGAGGGGGGGGGGAGAAACTCTGATCATTTGTACCTAAAGTAACTTTACCAACAAGCAGATTTATCAAACGGGTATTCCCGACATACACACAAAGAAATAAACGGAAATGCCCGATCATAATCAAATAATCGGACAATCCCAATGTAAAGTGAAACAAGGGAGAAGTTAAACGCGGCAATAAATGAAATCGTTCTTTGGCCTTTGGAAATGACAGTAAAAGGGGCGCAACTTCTGGTCTTGTTTTGATAGGCTTATCTATGCGCAGTGATCTACGGAGAAAAACGAGCAAATTTACAACTTGTCAGGCATTGACTAAAAATGTTGACTGCATTATCAATTTTGTCATGTGTACTTTTTTGTACAATGTCGCTGTGTACACACTTAACCTGAGGTTGTATTACCTCACATGTAAATCTTCTGTTTCAGATCATAAAAATGACACAATAAACAGGTCTAGTCTTCTTATAAAGCTCTGGTTTCTGCCTTTAGCTCGCTCTACAAGTTGTTAGCTGCGTGTAGGGTGTTGTTGGCGCCGAATTCTTGCACAAGTAAGTAAAGAAAAACCTAATACGGTACGGGTTAGTTCTCTAGTTGACGGGACGTCAGTTGGTCCATGGCCAGCTTGCTGTGACAAATGCCTCCGGAAATATATCGATATGTCCGGAAATCGGCTTGATCACAGTGTTCATTACATCACGACTGTCAATCTCTGTCCGCGTAGAAGCTTGATATAATGTTAATTAGGTTTAGCCCTAATGAACTTGTACCTTACTTTTAAGACGCACTCAAGTCTCATGGAACTGAATGGCGTTTCCCACCCTACCCTCTACCCCCACCCTCCACTTTAGCCAAACGTGTGTAGCCTACTCTCTAAGAACGGTAGGTTTTTAAATTCTTGGCGCACATTCAATCATCGACATGGTAATTTTAAAAAAACTCATTACAGGTTCAGTGAAGTTTCACTGGAGCTCTTCATTTCTCTAGGCCGTACACACGTACACGTACACGTACACGTACACGTACACGTACACGTACACGTACACGTACACGTACACGTACACGTACACGTACACGAACACGTACACGTACACGTACACGTACACGTACACGTACACGTACACGTACACGTACACGTACACGTACACGTACACGTACACGTACACGTACACGTACACGTACACGTACACGTACACGACATTTTTTGAGGTAATAACTCCCTAGTGATAAGGGGGTCATAGCTCGGTGTTACGCTAAAGGTAAAGGGAAAGATAACTCATTGTATAGATGGAGACAAAGTATACGTCACGTAAGAGTTGAAGGATTTATATACTAGGTAATGACTTGTGGTATTCATGTATTTGAAGTTAATGATAAATAAGGATATACATTCCTAGAGGTGAGGGGTGTCAAGTATCACATGACAGGGATAATATTACTTCATGTAATTGGTAACATTACATACGCAATTAACACCATTGGTCTAATTAGGGAACGACGTGGTCGGATGGTAGAGCTGACCTGAAAATGTTCGTGTTCGGATCCCAGTTCTAGTTTGTTGGGCGTTCCAGAGTCCACTCTAATACGTGTTAGATACGTTAGATACGTTAGATACGTTAGATACGTTAGATACGTTAGATACGTTAGATACGTTAGATACGTTAGATACGTTAGATACGTGTTAGATACGTTAGATACATTAGATACGTTAGATACGTGTTAGATACGTTAGATACGTTAGATACGTTAGATACGTTAGATACGTGTTAGATACGTTAGATACGTTAGATACGTTAGATACGTTAGATACGTTAGATACGTTAGATACGTTAGATACGTTAGATACGTTAGATACGTTAGATACGTTAGATACGTTAGATACGTTAGATACGTTAGATACGTGTTAGATACGTTAGATACGTTAGATACGTTAGATACGTTAGATACGTGTTAGATACGTTAGATACGTTAGATACGTTAGATACGTTAGATACGTTAGATACGTTAGATACGTTAGATACGTTAGATACGTTAGATACGTGTTAGATACGTTAGATACGTTAGATACGTTAGATACGTTAGATACGTGTTAGATACGTTAGATACGTTAGATACGTTAGATACGTTAGATACGTTAGATACGTTAGATACGTTAGATACGTTAGATACGTTAGATACGTTAGATACGTTAGATACGTTAGATACGTTAGATACGTGTTAGATACATTAGATACGTGTTAGATACGTTAGATACGTGTTAGATACGTTAGATACGTGTTAGATACGTTAGATACGTGTTAGATACGTGTTAGATACGTTAGATACGTGTTAGATACGTGTTAGATACGTGTTAGATACGTGTTAGATACGTTAGATACGTGTTAGATACGTGTTAGATACGTTAGATACGTGTTAGATACGTTAGATACGTGTTAGATACGTTAGATACGTGTTAGATACGTTAGATACGTGTTAGATACGTGTTAGATACGTGTTAGATACGTTAGATACGTTAGATACGTTAGATACGTGTTAGATACATTAGATACGTGTTAGATACGTGTTAGATACGTTAGATACGTGTTAGATACGTGTTAGATACGTTAGATACGTGTTAGATACGTGTTAGATACGTGTTAGATACGTGTTAGATACGTGTTAGATACGTGTTAGATACGTTAGATACGTTAGATACGTTAGATACGTGTTAGATACATTAGATACGTGTTAGATACGTGTTAGATACGTTAGATACGTTAGATACGTTAGATACGTGTTAGATACATTAGATACGTGTTAGATACGTGTTAGATACGTTAGATACGTGTTAGATACGTGTTAGATACGTTAGATACGTTAGATACGTTAGATACGTGTTAGATACATTAGATACGTGTTAGATACGTGTTAGATACGTGTTAGATACGTTAGATACGTTAGATACGTGTTAGATACATTAGATACGTGTTAGATACGTGTTAGATACGTGTTAGATACGTGTTAGATACGTTAGATACGTTAGATACGTTAGATACGTGTTAGATACGTTAGATACGTGTTAGATACGTGTTAGATACGTGTTAGATACGTGTTAGATACGTTAGATACGTGTTAGATACGTTAGATACGTGTTAGATACGTGTTAGATACGTGTTAGATACGTTAGATACGTTAGATACGTTAGATACGTGTTAGATACATTAGATACGTGTTAGATACGTGTTAGATACGTTAGATACGTGTTAGATACGTGTTAGATACGTTAGATACGTTAGATACGTGTTAGATACGTTAGATACGTTAGATACGTGTTAGATACGTTAGATACGTGTTAGATACGTTAGATACGTGTTAGATACGTTAGATACGTTAGATACGTGTTAGATACGTTAGATACGTGTTAGATACGTGTTAGATACGTGTTAGATACGTGTTAGATACGTGTTAGATACATTAGATACATTAGATACGTTAGATACGTTAGATACGTGTTAGATACATTAGATACATTAGATACGTTAGATACGTTAGATACGTTAGATACGTGTTAGATACATTAGATACATTAGATACATTAGATACATTAGATACGTTAGATACGTTAGATACGTTAGATACGTGTTAGATACGTTAGATACGTGTTAGATACGTTAGATACGTTAGATACGTTAGATACGTGTTAGAGGAAAAAAGTCGGCTGGACATAGTGCTGACCATAACATCCCTCACACGTCGAGATCAATAAAACAGGTCAACTTCACTTCATCTACCCCGTGTATATTGGGTACGAAAGGGTAGAAGATGATGAAGATTGTTCGATTTTACTTTCTACCTACACTCAACACACTGATCTATTTTACTTTCTAACTACACTCAACACACCGATCTATTTTACTTTCTACCTACACTCAACACATTGAGCCTAGATCCAATTCTGGGCACATCCTTAGAATGCGAACAGAAACACAAACCTCATCAAACCCATTAAACTAATTATAACTTCAGTTACCACCTCTAAAAAAAAACCAGCTCCCCTTAAAAGCACATTAGCCCGCTGCTTGAAGCAACTCGGACTAATCACGTCCTAGTGAGCTGAATTGTCTACACGAACTACCACTACAGACCAGCTTCGTGAAAATATTTCAAATTTTCCATACCTGTCCACGACCGCCCCAACCCACAGGTTCCTGCTCGTGCACGCAGGTGTGAGTGCACTGAGGGTTATGTGCATGGTCATATCTCGTCAAGTTGTTTATTTACCAAGTGAAATAGTTTGACGGCAGTTGAGCAGACTTCTCTAGACCAGATTTTTGTGCTCACACCAAGCTCAGGTAAATATTGATTTGACTTTATACTCCAGCTGTATGTGGGTAAATCTAGGTGAAGCAGACATACGTCTGATATTTTAGTCTAATTAGTAATCTAATGATGGTGATAGTATTACTTAAAATTGTTCCTATATTTAATTAACCCCTAAGGAAACGTCATAGACAAAATATTAACTTTTGAAGTAGGTGGCGACTATTTGAGTTTAACTTTTAATCTAACGACTAAGTTCGACTTTTAATCTAACGACTAAGTTCGACTTTTAATCTAACGACTAAGTTCGACTTTTAATCTAACGAATAAGTTCGACTTTTAATCTAACGACTAAGTTCGATTTTTAATCAAACGACTATCTAAGTTCGACTTTTTATATATTTTTTTAATCAGTGAAAAATAGTCTATCCTCAAACAGTTTGTTGACCGACGTTTTCTCTATCGTATCTAAAGAAAGAAATATGGTCTAATCGTTAGGTTATTTAAATGATAGTTATTACTGTTTTTAAAACATATTATTTTCTTCTTTTTCCAAATTAGTTCTGTAAGAAGAAAATTGTAAATCAATATTTATGTTTTAAAATAAATTAACATCATAATTGTTAAATTGTTCACGTTCATTCTTAATTAAGACGATACACTTCCAATTAAAATATATCCATTAAATCCAATCATTAGACTACGATAAGTAAACTGTGAGTTGTAGTAAAATGGAATTAACGTCTTACTAATTGTGATCTAATTAAATATACACATTTTTTAACAAATCAGTATATTACCTAAGTTTGTCTTTTAAACTCATTACCTCATATGTTACATGTTTAAATCCTACATGATAACCTATGATTAGCACGAAGTTTTGTAAACAACGATGAACATCAGCTCACCGGACTGGCCTTTGCGACCTAGTCCTTTCCCGTTTTTTTCCCACGTTTTCTTTAACTTGCTTTCGCGTCTGTTTTTCCATCAAATCTTGCGATCGAAATTGAGGGCACTTCCCAATTAGCTAGCGCGCTGAAATTTTCAGGGAAGCTTTGTTTACGATGACAATACAATATTCAATTATTATTATTACTAAATTGATCCATGGAAAAATTTTATTGATCATTTTAGACTCCTATTGATTTGTACAAAAAAAGGGACATAACCTTGTAATTGTAATTTGATAAAAAACAAGGTTCGGTACTTTCCCTTTTCTGGCTTACAATTTTTTTAGTTCAATCAGAAAACGTGGGTTGTTTTTTTTTATTTTTAATGATAATTATTATTATTGTAATAATTATCTTTTAGTTTTCTCGACAAATTGACTTATTTGATATTCTTTTAGTTGACTAATCATCATGATTGAAATATTTATAATGATATTCTTGAAAACGATACTGTTGATAATGATACTCTTGATAATTATACTCTTGTAGATACAATAGAAAAGAAATTATTCCTTTAAATATAGATTACTTGAATTGAGCACCAACAAACAAACAATTAAACTTTACGAAACAAAGTAAAACCTGGTAAAAAAAAATGAATCCAAATATTTTAAGAGATACAAATATTTTATAGACCACCGACAAAGGTATTTAAAGTATAGGCTCCGACAATCTATTGAGATAACTTTTCGACTGACAACTCGCTCAGACGTGAATAAAACACGTGTACTGCACCTCAACTCCTATTCCCCCCCCCCCCCACCCCCCCACCCCCACCCCTCCCCAACCAAACAGCGAACATCTTCAAACGTTCATATCAAACCTTGGAAAACACTTGTTACTATTACCTCCCCCATATCTCATAGATACCGTTTGTTTGATACTTTAGGCATCCCCGAATAGTAACATCAGAAAAATGATTTTAAAAACTGTAGATCTTGGTACGTAGGCTCACAAGATCATGTTCAGAAAAATGATTTTAAAAAGGTAGATCTTGGTACGTAAGCTTACAAGATCATGTTCAGAAAAATAATTTTAAAACGTAGATCTGGAGACATTGGCTCACACCATAGAACTTTCCAACAAGATCTAGTGTAGAATTCCCACTCGAACTATTTATGTGAGAAGGCTTAAAGTACGAAGAATTTTAGTTCATCGTTAAACTTGTATTACTTAGCCCATGGCTCAGGTGGGGTAGGAGGGGGTGGGAGCGGAAATTGCAGGTCTGGGTGTAGACATTCAACTACAAGGTATAATTTGTAGCAACAACTGTAGACAAGATTAATAGTTAGATACAAACTTCACATAGTGCCGAGGTGTGCTATTCAAACTTCACATGGTGCAGAGGTGTGCTATTCAAACTTCACATGGTGCAGAGGTGTGCTATTCAAACTTCACATGGTGCAGAGGTGTGCTATTCAAACTTCACATGGTGCCGAGGTGTTCTATTCAAACTTCACATGGTGCAGAGGTGTTCTATTCAAACTTCACATGGTGCAGAGGTGTGCTATTCAAACTTCACATGGTGCAGAGGTGTGCTATTCAAACTTCACATGGTGCAGAGGTGTGCTATTCAAACTTCACATGGTGCAGAGGTGTGCTATTCAAACTTCACATGGTGCCGAGGTGTGCTATTCAAACTTCACATAGTGCCGAGGTGTGCTATTCAAACTTCACATAGTGCCGAGGTGTGCTATTCAAACTTCAAGCTAATACCTTTCATCAAGCTCAGTCTACACGTGCATAAAAACACAATGTGTTCAAATTTAACTTGTCAACTTACCCAAGTCATCTACTGTATAAATATATACATCGTACACATATCTCTCCAACACATCAACACAACATATTGTATTCTCGCCCGGGGTGGCACCCCCTCATTGTGACGCCATTTTTGTAACTTGCTAGATTTAGCTATGCAAAAATCTACAAGATGAAACCCTTTAAAACTAAATGATTCTAATTTTTAAAAACGTGTGCCCACTTTTCGTGTTTATCTTACAGGTGTGAAATAATAATAAAAATTATCCGAAGCGTTTTTGTTACTTGATAAAATTTTCCAATAGATTTGTATACTTTATTTAGTCTTTTCTCGAACTCAAGCAAGCAAGGCGTGCAGACAACATGGAGGAAACCAGACAAACTTTCAGCGACGTGCACAAGGCTATTGGCGACTTCACCAAGGCTCTGCCAACCCATCTGAAGTCAGGCCAACCCAGGCTGGTCGAGACCTTGACCCAGATCTTGTCCTACCTGCCCCTGGATGACCCAGCCTGGGACGACGAGGAGGTGGGTGAGCTAAAGACGGGGTGGGACGACCTCCAGGTGTGGATGGAACTGATTCTGGACAAGACGGGCGCCTTGATCAAGGACTCAAGCAAGGACTGGTACTCCAAAACTAAAGAAGACTTGCAGTGGAAGCTATTCTTGTTGCATGCTGCTATAGAAAAGATGAAACCCTTTAACGAGATTAGTGTTGTCAAAATGCAAGGTATGAATCTGTAGACTAAAGATCAGAGTTTCTTTCAGGCATATCTTCAGGGGCGCTCCCCTAACCTCTAACAAATTGAGAAAACTCTCTAAACAGTAAATTTATTCTTTAAACAGTGTCTGCTAACCTCGCCCCTGAAATTTTAAGTACACCCCTGGAGATAAATGTTTGAAAGAAACCCTGCTTAGGATGTGTTTGTAGTGTGTACTTCAGTATGAAAACATTGAAATACAAATGGACAACTCTTGTTGCGTAAAAAAATGTACCCAGCAGTTATTTCCCCTGAATGTAACTTTTCTTCCAGTTCTGGCCTCCGGTATTGGCGGCGGTAACCACTACATTGGAGGTGAACAACGTAAGGCCATCACTAGGGAGAGGTAGGTCTACAGGTGTCTCTAGACAGGCAGGTAACCACTACATTGGAGGTGAACAACGTAAGGCCATCACTAGGGAGAGGTAGGTCTACAGGTGTCTCTAGACAGGCAGGTAACCACTACATTGGAGGTGAACAACGTAAGGCCATCACTAGGGAGAGCTAGGTCTACAGGTTTCTCTAGACAGGTAGGTCTACAGGTGTCTCTAGACAGGCAGGTAACCACTACATTGGAGGTGAACAACGTAAGGCCATCACTAGGGAGAGGTAGGTCTACAGGTTTCTCTAGACAGGTAGGTCTACAGGTGTCTCTAGACAGACAGGTAACCACTACATTGGAGGTAAACAACGTAAGGCCATCACTAGGGAGAGGTAGGTCTACAGGTTTCTCTAGACAGGTAGGTCTACAGATGTCTCTAGACAGACAGGTAACCACTACATTGGAGGTGAACAACGTAAGGCCATCACTAGGGAAAGGTAAGTCTACAGGTGTCTCTAGACAGGTAGGTCTACAGGTTTCTCTAGACAGGTAGGTCTACATGTGTCTCTAGACAGGTAGGTACCTACAGGTTTCTGTAGACAAGTAAGTCTACAGGTTTCTCTAGACAGGCAGGTCTACAGGTTTCTCTAGACAGGTAGGTGTCTACGGGTTTCTCTAGACAGGTAGGTGTCTACACGTTTCTCTAGGCAGGTAGGTACCTACAGGTTTCTGTAGACAGGTAAGTCTACAGGTTTCTCTATACAGGTAGGTGTCTACGGGTTTCTCTAGGCAGGTAGGTGTCTACGGGTTTCTCTAGACTGGTAGGTGTCTACAGGTTTCTCTAGACTGGTAGGTGTCTACAGGTTTCTCTAGACAGGTAGGTGTCTACAGGTTTCTCTAGACAGGTAGGTGTCTACAGGTTTCTCTAGACAGGTAGGTCTACAGGTTTCTCTAGACAGGTAGGTGTCTACAGGTTTCTCTAGACAGGTTGGTGTCTACAGGTTTCTCTAGACAGGTAGGTCTACAGGTTTCTCTAGACAGGTAGGTGTCTACAGGTTTCTCTAGACAGGTAGGTGTCTACAGGTTTCTCTAGACAGGTAGGTGTCTACAGGTTTCTCTAGACAGGTAAGTGCCTACAGGTTTATCCCGACAGGTAGGTGCCTACAGGTTTCTCTAGACAGGTAGGTGTCTACAGGTTTCTCTAGACTGGTAGGTGTCTACAGGTTTCTCTAGACTGGTAGGTGTCTACAGGTTTCTCTAGACAGGTAGGTGTCTACATGATTCTCTAGACAGGTAGGTGTCTACAGGTTTCTCTAGACAGGTAGGTGTCTACAGGTTTCTCTAGACAGGTAGGTGTCTACAGGTTTCTCTAGACAGGTAGGTTTCTACAGGTTTCTCTAGACAGGTTGGTGTCTACAGGTTTCTCTAGACAGGTAGGTCTACAGGTTTCTCTAGAAAGGTAGGTGTCTACATGTTTCTCTAGACAGGTAGGTGTCTACAGGTTTATCCCGACAGGTAGGTGCCTGCAGGTTTATCTGGACAGGTAGGTCTACAGGTTTCTCTAGACAGGTAGGTGTCTACAGGTTTCTCTAGACAGGTAGGTGTCTACAGGTTTCTCTAGACAGGTAGGTACCTACAGGAGTTTTTCTAGACAGGTAGGTGCCTACTGGAGCATTTCTGTGCTAAATTTGCCTCAGTTTTACGTGTCTGGCTTGTAAAGACAATAGATACACCACTAAAAGTGAAATCCTTTCGGTGTGTACCATGGCATTAGCCAATGAGATCATGAGTCTCTTGATCTCACTCAATCTTTACATGTATAGTCCAAAGAAATGCTAAACCATAGGTTTGGTTCCAATCGGTTGCAGAATCTGGCGAAAAGAGACCAGAGTTGGTAATCCTGTCACGTAACGGGACGGTGGGAATTTGTTCTCCCACATCGAATAGTTTCTGTCCCCACCCAACCAGCCTCATCTGTCCGGTGGCTCGAACTCAGGCTCTAACTCAGGCTCGAACTCAGGCTCGAAATCAGGCTCGAACTCAGGAATATCGGGTTGACAGCTATGAACTTTTCCCTACCATACCACGTATAATTTGATAGTTGAGAGGTTCCACGCGTTTAATGTATTAGATATCAAAAACAAGCTTTTAATGCCATGCAATGGGATAAAGTTCAGTCTGACTTGCGGTCACTTAGAATTGGTTTTCAGCTTTAGGGAGAGAAATGTGGGCCTTATCAATTGGTTAGAGAGCTGCGTTTTAAAATATTTAAAAAGATGTAATGTTTAAATCAATGTAGTGTGTAAATATAAATAAAAATGTGCCTAACGTGTCTGGTAATAGTTAATTAGCCTTCCTAATGTAATCTTATCACAACTTTGGACGCGGGTTAAAATCGTACTGGTGTTTGTGTTTAACTTCATATGCACTTCCTTTCATATCGCATCTGTGTAACTTTTGTTACGTTATTTGTAGCTTTAATTTTCTTTTTCGATATTGCCTTTCTTGTTAACTTTAAGTTGATTTAGAATTTTTTTAAATTAAATTACTTCTTTAAATAAATTAGTGTTTAACAGTTTTGTAAAAAAGAAAATTATTATCTTCATAAATTCGTAATTTACAGTTCTACTCATAATGCAGACAAAGTTTCTTCCAGGCTTCGCCCCCCCCCCCCCCCCCCCATCCCGAAAAAATTCTACCGCCCCCCCCCCCCCCCGAACGAAATGAAATTAATATAATTTATATAGAAAATATATACTTTTTCAGTGTCCGCCCCCCCCCCCCCCCCGAAGAAAGTCTACCGCCCCCCCCCCCCCCCGAAAATTTCAAGTTCCCCCCCCCCCCCCCTTGAAGAAAAACGTCTGGAAGAAACACTGAAAGCAGATGCTCTGATCTACCGGAACAATCAAACAAACAATAATATACAAACTTCTCGCTTTTAGCATGCATATAGATAACATCGTTTAAAAGAATATTACATTGTTAAAATTATTTTTAAAATTTTAATAAACATATCTACGTCTAGAAGCGAAAGACTGAATGTATTTTTATTTTTACAGAATCAACTGTGCAGTCAACCTACTGTAAATAAAAAGTCTTGAAATAATCAAGAAGGCACTCACAGAAAATGCATCATGATTTGGCTGCAAATGCAAACTATGGACACTTTTACTAGTTTCCTTCTCTGCTTTTATATGTTGAATAAATACTTGTCAAAAATACTTGTCAAAAAATACTTGTCAAAAATACTTGTCAAAAATGCTTGTCAAAAATACTTGTCAAAAATACTTGTCAAAAATACTTGTCAAAAATACTTGTCAAAAATACTTGTCAAAAATACTTGTCAAAAATACTTGTCAAAAATACTTGTCAAAAATACTTGTCAAAATAGGCCTACTTGTCAAAAATAGGCCTACTTGTCAAAAATAGGCCTACTTGTCAAAAATAGGCCTACTTGTCAAAAATAGGCCTACTTGTCAAAAATACTTGTCAAAAATACTTGTCAAAAATACTTGTCAAAAATACTTGTCAAAAATACTTGTCAAAATAGGCCTACTTGTCAAAAATAGGCCTACTTGTCAAAAATAGGCCTACTTGTCAAAAATAGGCCTACTTGTCAAAAATACTTGTTAAAAATACTTGTCAAAAATACTTGTCAAAAATACTTGTCAAAAATACTTGTCAAAAATACTTGTCAAAAATACTTGTCAAAAATACTTGTCAAAAATACTTGTCAAAAATACTTGTCAAAAATACTTGTCAAAAATACTTGTCAAAAAACTGTCGTGATAGTGTTTGTAAACGGATGCAGTTTCTGCCATATTTAAGTCTTTGAGTTGCATAATCTTCCTCCCACTTCCCCTTCTCCTTTACGTATGCACTTGACAGTAGCCTAGCACGTCGTCAACCCTCTATACATTTTGGCTTACACTTACAATACATCCTTCATACTTTCTTTCTACCTGCCTCCCTTAATACATTAAGGTCATTACATTATGTTATAACCGTCTTACACTTACATCCTTCATGTAGCACTTGCATTTGGCGATATCGTGATTTTATTTTATCTGGCCAAGATTTGACCATTGAGGCGATTGGTCCTTTTGAGAGTCTACTGGGCACAACATTAAAACAAGATAACTGAGTTCGTACGGGCATGTCACCAAAGTTTCTTCCAGGCATCTCTTCAGGGGGCTCTCCCCCCCCCCCCGAAGAAAGTCTACCGCCCCCGCCCCCCCCCCCCCCCCGAACGAAATAGAATTTATATAGAAAATATATATTTTTGAAATTGTTGTCCGCCCCCCCCCCCCGAACGAAATGGAATTTATATAGAAAATATATACTTTTGAAATTGTTGTCCGCCCCCCCCCCCCCGCGCGAAAATTTCAAGTGCACCCCCGGAGAAAAAAGTCTAGAAGAAACACTGCATGTCACACGAACCAATGGCCTATCCAAAACAATAATGCAGGGCACTGTGCCAGGAGAGACAAGAAGTGGAAGGCAAAGATGTGACTGGATGGATGACACCAAAGATAGGACTGTCTGCCTGTTTTAGAACTAATCGTAGTGGAATAGGGCCGAGATGGATGGCGGGTAATGCGAAGGTCAAATGTGGTGCCCCAACGACTCATTGAGCGATGGTGATGTTGATGGTGATAATGATTATAATGATGATGGTGATGATGATGATCTGGGCAAGAGAGACATTAAATTATGCGGTGGGCTGATATTTTAAATACTGAAATTTCTGATCATGAAGGAGAACTTTGAGTTATGTAAAAAAAATAAACCGGGAGTGATCTCCCCTAACCTTTCTCGAATATTCTAATATAACATTACGGGGGATGGCAACTCGGGAAATATTTGTAATCCATTTTTAATTACTTAAATTTTTTATAATAGAATAGAATCTCGTAAAAAAGGAATTGCCCATCAAGTGAACGCCAAATAAAATGTGCATAATAGTCCGGGATATTATTAGTACTTTATAAATTCACATGCGTTGTTTTTTTTTTAAGAAATCGGAAATACCGTAAATCACAACTTCAGGAGGACGGAAATTACTCAAAATTTGATAGAAGTCAGAGAATTAGAACTTTTACTTACACGTGAAATTTCATTTATCTATCTGAAATAATACTCAAGTTCTAGGCTTTTGAAAAATTCAAAGTAGAAAAAGTTCCACTTCCGGTTATCGGAAATCGCTCAAAAGTTGATACGGATATATGATTTTGATATAATACTTATATATGAAATTTCATCAACATAGCTGTAACGGTACTCAAGTTATCGTGTTTACACACACACACACACACACACACACGTACACACAGACATACGGACAAGATTGCAAAACTATGTTTTTCCGACTCAGAGGGCCCTAAAACGTCGAGATTTGCAGGGGGGGGGGGCTACGATAACGAAACATACACGCCACCTATATGCGAATACCTCCGTGGGTGGGGTGGGACGTCTATTGGGGTCGGTGTCGGAGGTGAAATCATAGGAAAATACTAATTCTGTAGGACTTGTCTGAGAACAGTGTAGCACGTCATCGACCTTGGGGCAGTGCAGTGTAGCATGTCATCGACCTTGGGGCAGTGTAGCATGTCAACGACCTTGTGGGTAGTGCAGTGTAGAATGTCATCGACCTTGGGGCAGTGTAGCACGTCATCGACCTTGGGACAGTGTAGCATGTCATCGACCTTGGGGCAGTGTAGCATGTCATCGACCTTGGGGCAGTGTAGCATGTCATCGACCTTGGGACAGTGTAGCATGTCATCGACCTTGGGGCAGTGTAGCATGTCATCGACCTTGGGACAGTGTAGCATGTCAACGACCTTGGGGCAGTGTAGCATGTCAACGACCTTGTGGGTAGTGCAGTGTAGCATGTCATCGAACTTGGGGCAGTGTAGCACGTCATCGACCTTGGAGCAGTGTAGCATGTCATCGACCTTGGGGCAGTGCAGTGTAGCATGTCATCGACCTTGGGGCAGTGTAGCATGTCATCGACCTTGGGACAGTGTAGCATGTCAACGACCTTGGGGCAGTGTAGCATGTCATCGACCTTGGGACAGTGTAGCATGTCATCGACCTTGGGGCAGTGTAGCATGTCATCGACCTTGGGACAGTGTAGCATGTCATCGACCTTGGGGCAGTGTAGCATGTCATCGACCTTGGGGCAGTGTAGCATGTCAACGACCTTGGGGCAGTGCAGTGTAGCATGTCATCAACCTTGGGGCAGTGTAGCATGTCATCGACCTTGGGACAGTGTAGCATGTCATCGACCTTGGGGCAGTGCAGCATGTCATCGACCTTGGGACAGTGTAGCATGTCAACGACCTTGTGGGTAGTGCAGTGTAGCATGTCATCGACCTTGGGGCAGTGTAGCACGTCATCGACCTTGGGGCAGTGTAGCATGTCATCGACCTTGGGGCAGTGTAGCATGTCATCGACCTTGGGGCAGTGTAGCATGTCATCGACCTTGGGGCAGTGTAGCACGTCATCGACTTTGGGGCAGTGCAGTGTAGCATGTCATCGACCTTGGGGCAGTGCAGCATGTCATCGACCTTGGGACAGTGTAGCATGTCAACGACCTTGTGGGCAGTGCAATGTAGCATGTCATCGACCTTGGGGCAGTGTAGCACGTCATCGACCTTGGGGCAGTGTAGCATGTCATCGACCTTGGGGCAGTGTAGCATGTCATCGACCTTGGGGCAGTGTAGCATGTCAACGACCTTGGGGCAGTGTAGCACGTCATCGACCTTGGGACAGTGTAGCATGTCATCGACCTTGGGGCAGTGTAGCATGTCATCGACCTTGGGGCAGTGTAGCATGTCATCGACCTTGGGGCAGTGTAGCATGTCAACGACCTTGGGGCAAGGTAGCATGTCATCGACCTTGGGGCAGTGCAGTGTAGCATGTCATCGACCTTGGGGCAGTGTAGCATGTCATCGACCTTGGGGCAGTGTAGCATGTCATCGACCTTGGGGCAGTGTAGCACGTCATCGACCTTGGGACAGTGTAGCATGTCATCGACCTTGGGGCAGTGTAGCATGTCATCGACCTTGGGGCAGTGCAGTGTAGCATGTCATCGACCTTGGGGCAGTGTAGCATGTCAACGACCTTGGGGCAAGGTAGCATGTCATCGACCTTGGGGCAGTGCAGTGTAGCATGTCATCAACCTTGTGGGCAGTGTAGAATGTCATCGACCTTGGGGCAGTGTAGCATGTCACCAACCTTGGGACAGTGTAGCATGTCATCGACCTTGGGGCAGTGTAGCACGTCATCGACCTTGGGGCAGTGTAGCACTTCATCGACCTTGGGGCAGTGCAGTGTAACATGTCATCAACCTTGGTGCAGTGTAGCATGTCATCGACCTTTGGACAGTGTAGCACATCATCGACCTTGGGGCAGTGCAGTGTAGCATGTCATCAACCTTGGGGCAGTGCAGTGTAGCATGTCATCGACCTTGGGACAGTGTAGCATGTCAACGACCTTGTGGGCAGTGCAGTGTAGCATGTCATCGACCTTGGGATAGTGTAGCATGTCATCGACCTTGGGACAGTGTAGCATGTCAACGACCTTGTGGGCAGTGTAGAATGTCATCGACCTTGGGGCAGTGCAGTGTAGCATGTCATCGACCTTGGGGCAGTGTAGCATGTCACCGACCTTGGGGCAGTGCAGTGTAGCACGTCATCGACCTTGGGGCAGTGCAGTGTACCATGTCATCGACCTTGGGACAGTGTAGCATGTCACCGACCTTGGGGCAGTGCAGTGTAGCATGTCATCGACCTTGGGGCAGTGTAGCATGTCATCGACCTTGGGACTGTGTAGCATGTCAACGACCTTGGGGCAGTGTAGCATGTCATCGACCTTGGGGCAGTGTAGCATGTCATCGACCTTGGGACAGTGTAGCATGTCATCGACCTTGGGGCAGTGCAGCATGTCATCGACCTTGGGACAGTGTAGCATGTCAACGACCTTGTGGGTAGTGCAGTGTAGCATGTCATCGACCTTGGGGCAGTGTAGCACGTCATCGACCTTGGGGCAGTGTAGCATGTCATCGACCTTGGGGCAGTGTAGCATGTCATCGACCTTGGGGCAGTGTAGCATGTCATCGACCTTGGGGCAGTGTAGCACGTCATCGACTTTGGGGCAGTGCAGTGTAGCATGTCATCGACCTTGGGGCAGTGCAGCATGTCATCGACCTTGGGACAGTGTAGCATGTCAACGACCTTGTGGGCAGTGCAATGTAGCATGTCATCGACCTTGGGGCAGTGTAGCACGTCATCGACCTTGGGGCAGTGTAGCATGTCATCGACCTTGGGGCAGTGTAGCATGTCATCGACCTTGGGGCAGTGTAGCATGTCAACGACCTTGGGGCAGTGTAGCACGTCATCGACCTTGGGACAGTGTAGCATGTCATCGACCTTGGGGCAGTGTAGCATGTCATCGACCTTGGGGCAGTGTAGCATGTCATCGACCTTGGGGCAGTGTAGCATGTCAACGACCTTGGGGCAAGGTAGCATGTCATCGACCTTGGGGCAGTGCAGTGTAGCATGTCATCGACCTTGGGGCAGTGTAGCATGTCATCGACCTTGGGGCAGTGTAGCATGTCATCGACCTTGGGGCAGTGTAGCACGTCATCGACCTTGGGACAGTGTAGCATGTCATCGACCTTGGGGCAGTGTAGCATGTCATCGACCTTGGGGCAGTGCAGTGTAGCATGTCATCGACCTTGGGGCAGTGTAGCATGTCAACGACCTTGGGGCAAGGTAGCATGTCATCGACCTTGGGGCAGTGCAGTGTAGCATGTCATCAACCTTGTGGGCAGTGTAGAATGTCATCGACCTTGGGGCAGTGTAGCATGTCACCAACCTTGGGACAGTGTAGCATGTCATCGACCTTGGGGCAGTGTAGCACGTCATCGACCTTGGGGCAGTGTAGCACTTCATCGACCTTGGGGCAGTGCAGTGTAACATGTCATCAACCTTGGTGCAGTGTAGCATGTCATCGACCTTTGGACAGTGTAGCACATCATCGACCTTGGGGCAGTGCAGTGTAGCATGTCATCAACCTTGGGGCAGTGCAGTGTAGCATGTCATCGACCTTGGGACAGTGTAGCATGTCAACGACCTTGTGGGCAGTGCAGTGTAGCATGTCATCGACCTTGGGATAGTGTAGCATGTCATCGACCTTGGGACAGTGTAGCATGTCAACGACCTTGTGGGCAGTGTAGAATGTCATCGACCTTGGGGCAGTGCAGTGTAGCATGTCATCGACCTTGGGGCAGTGTAGCATGTCACCGACCTTGGGGCAGTGCAGTGTAGCACGTCATCGACCTTGGGGCAGTGCAGTGTACCATGTCATCGACCTTGGGACAGTGTAGCATGTCACCGACCTTGGGGCAGTGCAGTGTAGCATGTCATCGACCTTGGGGCAGTGTAGCATGTCATCGACCTTGGGACTGTGTAGCATGTCAACGACCTTGGGGCAGTGTAGCATGTCATCGACCTTGGGGCAGTGTAGCTTGTCAACGACCTTGGGGCAGTGTAGCACGTCATCGACCTTGGGGCAGTGTAGCATGTCATCGACCTTGGGGCAGTGTAGCATGTCATCGACCTTGGGGCAGTGTAGCATGTCATCGACCTTGGGGCAGTGTAGCATGTCATCGACCTTGGGGCAGTGCAGTGTAGCATGTCATCGACCTTGGGGCAGTGTAGCATGTCATCGACCTTGGGGCAGTGTAGCATGTCATGGACCTTGGGGAAGTGTAGCATGTCAACGACCTTGGGACAGTGTAGCACATCATCGACCTTGGGGCAGTGCAGTGTAGCCTGTCATCGACCTTGGGGCAGTGTAGCATGTCATCGACCTTGGGGCAGTGCAGTGTAGCATGTCATCGACCTTGGGGCAGTGTAGCATGTCATCGACCTTGGGGCAGTGCAGTGTAGCATGTCATCGACCTTGGGGCAGTGCAGTGTAGCATGTCATCGACCTTGGGGCAGTGTAGCATGTCATCGACCTTGGGGCAGTGTAGCATGTCCTCGACCTTGGGGCAGTGCAGTGTAGCATGTCATCGACCTTGGGGCAGTGCAGTGTAGCATGTCATCGACCTTGGGACAGTGTAGCATGTCATCGACCTTGGGGCAGTGTAGCATGTCATCGACCTTGGGACAGTGCACTGTAGCATGTCATCGACCTTGGGGCAGTGTAGCATGTCATCGACCTTGGGACAGTGTAGCATGTCATCGACCTTGGGGCAGTGTAGCACGTCATCGACCTTGGGAGAGTGCTCTATCCTATCACACACGTGCAAGGGGTAGGACATTCTCTCACACCAAAAACATTTTTAAAAATTGTCTTTTCTTCTTCTCCGTTTTAAATAATTTTAATGTTGGAAGAGATATCCCCCACCAGAAATCAACTTGTTTGATTTTCTTCCTAAGCTTTTCGCCAACTGTAAACAAACTGCAAAGCAGTTAATATTTAGATGAACTTTCCAAAATGTTGACTTTGTATTAGATACTAAATCTATTTGCCGTAGCATTCTGTTTACAACGGGGTGTATTCTACCTTTATATTACCCATTCCACCTTATCAAGGCTATATCAATCACGAGAAACACCATCCGCCTTGCCTTCGTTATTGACAGCCGGATGTTTAGATGACAAACAGCAGGGTCACTAGAACTACATCAGATGTGGAAACGCCCCTGAGGGTCACTAGAACTACATCAGATGTGGAAACGCCCCTGAGGGTCACTAGAACTACATCAGATGTGGAAACGCCCCTGAGGGTCACTAGAACTACATCAGATGTGGAAACGCCCCTGAGGGTCACTAGAACTACATCAGATGTGGAAACGCCCCTGATGGTCACTAGAACTACATCATGTACAGCATGACGTGCTGGTACATGATACTTACTTTATTGTTGGAGGAAATCACATCGAAAAATACATTTAACAACGAAGAAAAATGGTGAATGGTTTTTATCAAAGTTAGACTAAAATGTTTTAGTCATTACTTCCGTTGTGACAGTTGTTTGAATTATTTCTTCCCCTGAGTTAAATATATTTTAATCATTACTTCCCGTTTGACAGTTGCTTGAATTATTTCTTCCCCTGAGTTAGTTAAATATATTTTAATCATTACTTCCCTTGTGTGAGTTAAATATATTTTAATCATTACTTCCCTTGTGATAGTTGTTTGAATTGTTACTTCCCCTGAGTTAGTTAAATATATTTTAATCATTACTTCCCTTGTGTGAGTTAAATATATTTTAATCATTACTTCCCTTGTGATAGTTGTTTGAATTGTTGCTTCCCCTGAGCTAGTTAAATATATTCAAAGCCAAGGTTACAGTAAACAAGTGAACTCTACTTCACTTGCCTCATAGACCGTCAGGTTGGAAAGGAAACTATCTATCTATCTATCTATCTATCTATCTATCTATCTATCTATCTATCTATCTATCTATCTATCTATCTATCTATCTATCTATCTATCTATCTATCTATCTATCTATCTATCTATCTATCTATCTATCTATCTATCTATCTATCTATCTATCTATCTATCTATCTATCTATCTATCTATCTATCTATCTATCTATCTATCTATCTATCTATCTATCTATCTATCTATCTATCTATCTATCTATCTATCTATCTATCTATCTATCTATCTATCTATCTATCTATCTATCTATCTATCTATCTATCTATCTATCTATCTATCTATCTATCTATCTATCTATCTATCTATCTATCTATTTATTTATTTATTTATTTACTTATTTATTTATTTATATATTTATTCTTACGTTAGAAACCAATTTATTTGTAAATGAATAGCAAAATCGTTGCAAGATTCAACAACAAATCCACAGACAGACAGACATGTGGACTAAACAAACAGCCTCTCAAAACGAAGGAGAAAACCATTTAAAAAGTCGCAGGCATGTACTGAGCATGTTCGTGTATTATATATTTTATGTTTGTTTTGCCAGACTAGCAGGGGCACTGCGACTGATGTTACTACATATATCAGGTCAACTTTGGTGATGGTACAGTCGATTGCAAGAATTTAGCTGCTGTTAATAATACGGACGTGCCAATTCGTGTTATATACCAACATAGCTGTCATAACACATTTGTCATGACAACACAGCAGACATCAAGACTTTAGGCGAACGATGATACCTCAGCTCGTAGATAAACTGAACAAAAGCTTTTAGTTCAGAACTTGAACAAAACCTAATAGGGCCACTCTGTCAACAATTATAGTAATATGCCGGATCAGCCACATAGCATGCAGGATCGCATGTCATGTACTGGCATGGGTTGGCTTGACTCTGTGTGGCCGTCCCCTTCTTGATCTTCTCCCCCAGCACCCTCTGAAGAGTCTCGGGGTCTTCGCAATCTGATTCGTTAACGTAAACGAAAATAGAACTCGTGCCCGCCTCGGCTGGTACAGGTGTGCAGTGCGAGAAGCCGCCCATTGCTTGAGTCGGGTAAGGGTACATGCTGGTTGAACCTACCACAGGCACCATCACACCTCTGTCCCGCTCGGAGGATGAGTTTCGTGTTCTCCGCTCCTTCTTTGAGGTATTGCGCTGTGTTCGAGGTCGGCTACGCTCTTCTTCGCTATCGCTTTCTGAACTCTCGGTCAGTTGTCGATTTCGCTTTTGACGTTTTTTTCTTTCCGATCTCTCTTCCTCCTCGTCAGAAGATGACTCTGGGGAACGTGTACGTGTGTGGCGCTTTGAACAACATGCCCGTTCATCACAATGGGCAAACTTTACGACGCGGCAACAGCATTTGGGTATGCAGCTATTTTCACACATACAAGTGGACTCACAAACTGCGTGTTTGCTTTTACTTTTACGCTTTGGTGTGCTTTCCACTTCAGAGCTTTCTTCATCAGGAGAACTAGCTTTTGCTTTTCTACTTCGCGGAGGACTGGGGCTATTTTCTTCAGAATCCTCATCTTCCGAATGTGCCACTGCTCGTGTTTTTTTCTTCCTACCAACTTTAGATGCAGAACCTGACACTTTACTTACACTTTCTGAAGTGGGCAATTCGCTATCTGACACTTCATCACTTTCTTGTGCCTTTTTGCTCCGACGGTTCATTTTTCCGTCCCCACCTTCATTTTTAGTAGGCTTCTTCTCTTTCTTTATCTTGGGTTTCTTCTGTGACTTTCTCAGCTTTTGAGATTTCTTATCGTGTTTTGCTTTTTTTTCACTATCTTCCGCGTCTTCTTCGTCCTCTGACGCCACTGGTTTTTTACTACGTTTATCTGGCTCGCTGTCAGAATCTAATGACGAAAGCGCATGTTTATTTTCTCCTACAGCAGTGGTTTCATTAGCAGAGTCTTCATCATTACCTGTTGAATCAACGTCTGCTTCACTTTCGTGACGCTTCCTGTCTTTCTTAATCCGACTTGCCTTCTTTGTCTTCTTTTTCTTTTTCTTCTTTAACCGTGGTCCTTTTGCACTTTCCGTCGCCTCCTCTTCGTCTGAAGTTCCTGCTTTTTTCCTAGATTTCCTGGACGGGCTTCGATCAGAATCTGCTGATGAAACAGCTTTCTCGCTGTCAGTGTCAGGTGAGAGCTGGGAAGGTGAGTCCACTTTCACATCACCCTCATCCTCTTCATCGATGCGGGACCCTGTAGGCTTGCCACCAACAGCACTAACAATTCGATCTTTATCTTCTTTGCTTGTACGTGTTCCATTCTTTGAGGATTTCTTAAGGTTGGGTTTACCTGGTGAAGTGGACGAGGCGAAAAGGTTAGGTCATCGAGCTAGCTACATAACACGACTTGCCAACTGTCATATTTTGATACGACCCTTAAAATAAATTGGTGAATAGAACTCACTTTACCATTATATTTTTTACTTTCTCGAATACGAAGTGTAGAGAAAGTGTTGTTATCGTGCTGAGAAATTAACAGATACTTCGACAGTTTTCGACGTTTTTTACCTCCCTACTATATTTTACGGACTGTAAAAGCTGTATTATAATTTTTCGAAAAGTCTCAATAGATGTTTTGAAAAATTATGACACTTTTTAATGTTCCTGAGTCTGAAAATCTTTTTTTTTTCATTTTGTCAATCTATGTGTGTTACTCTAAACAAGATAACTTGAGTACCGTCTCAGTTGTGTTACCAAATTTCCTATACAAGTTTTATATCAAATGTGTAGTTTTATTTCAACTTTTCAGTGATTTCCTTAAACCGAAAATTAGGTAAACGAAATTTCAATATAAGTATTAGATTTTATGGAAAGGTTCTTTTTGAACAATTTCCGGTAACTGGTAGTGGTATGTCGCACAATATCCTCGGGAATACGATAACTTAGATACTGTTTCAGTTGGGTAGGCTAAAATTCATATATTAGTATAAAATCGTATACTTGGAGTACTGTCGAAATTTGGAATTACCTCCGAAAGTGGTACTTTAATCTATTTCGGGTTTCTAAAATACAAATAACATAACTACCGTTTCAATTAGATGTGAATTTTTTTTATAAATAGGTAATAGATCTTATTTCTTGCTTTTGACAAATTTAAGTGATTTCCGTTGACCAGGAAAAGTACTTAAAGGAATTCCGATTCCTCAAAAATATCACTGCTACAGAACTGATCAGATGTTTAATTACTTTAAATTTTCCGTTCTTTTTTAATTTCTCGTATATACGAAGTATAGAGAAAGTCTTGTAATCGTGTTTAAAAAATCGAGATTTTTGCAAATCTCGATATTTTACACCTCGCTAATACATAAAAATATAATTTTGCAATCTTGTCCGCATCTCTGTGTGTATGTCTCTGTGCGTCTGTGTGTGTGTCTGTGTGTGTGTGTCTGTAAACACGATAACTTGAGTACCGTTACAGCTAGGTTGATGATATTTCATATATAAGTATTTTATCAAAATCGTAGATCCCTATCAACTTTTGAGCGATTTCCGATAACTGGAAGTGGTACTTTTTTTACTTTGAATTTTTCAAAAGCCTATAATTTGAGAACTATTTCAGATAGATAAATGAAATTTCAAATGTAAGTAAAAGAACTAATTTTCTACCTTCTGTCAAATTTTGATTAATTTCCGTTGCGGGAGTACTAATTTACGCTATTTCCGATTTCTCAAAATCTAATGTAAATTTATAAAGTACTAATAATATTTCGCACTATTATGCACATTTTATTTGGCGTTCACTTGTGCGCAATTATTTTTCTACGAGATTTTATTCTATTTTAAAAAGTATTTAAAATGGATTAAAAATCATGTCTATATCCCGAGTTCCCATTCCCTGTTTTTTTTTAAATCTAATATATAAAGCTCAATTCTGATGTAACATGTAATAAGTTTGTCGTTGACATACTTCCCTGGATTTAAGTGTTAGATTATTATCGTGCTCATAGTCTAAATTTATGAGTTAAAAAATTATTATTGAAAGTGTTGGGAAATAATTTTCATTTTTCAAACTGATAGTAATAATTGTCGGCATGTTCATTAAACACAATTTTAAAAAATTATCATCTTTTACAAAAATTCTAATTATGTCTGAAAATTATTTATATTGAGTCCTTTAGCACTTACTTCCCTTTGATGAATTAGGAAAACACAATTACTTCCCTTTATAAAACATTGGATTAGTGGAAAAGAATTTACTTTTTATTACTTTGTTTTGGTGTTGGGAAAAAATAATTACATAATTAGCGGGGATTGATCAAGTGCAAATGTTGTAGGTATTTTACGGATAAGCTTGGAGTATTATAATTGTTCATTTGGTTTGGTTTGGCACCTACGTTCGTTTAAATGAGTGCAAAAGACTATGAATAAGTTGGGGTACTATAGTCATTTATTAAGCTGAAACAGGCGATTCTGCCCCGGGCTAGACTGTGAGCACTTTGCGTTTATGTTCGCGTTTGTGTTTTCTTTGTGTTTAGGTATGGTTTGCGTTAGTGGTTGAGTTTTGATTTGGTTTTGTTCGTTCTTTTTTCGTTTTCGTTTGTGTTTTTTTCTTTGGGTTTGTATTTGTGTTTGTGGTTGGTTTTGCGTTTGGATTTGGTTTGTTTTCGTTTGCTTTTTCGTTTGTGTTTTTTTCTTTGGGTTTCTGTTTGTGTTTGTGGTTGGTTTTGCGTTTGGATTTGGTTTGTTTTCGTTTGCTTTTTCGTTTGTTTTTTTCTTTGTGTTCGTATTGGTGTTTGTGGTTGTGGTTGAGTTTGTTGTTAGGTTTTTGTTTTCGTGTGTATTTGTAATTGTGTTAGCGTTATGTTTGCGTTTTGTTGTTTTGGTTTTGGTTGGTTGTGGTTTGGGTGGGCAATGCCGGGTTTATGATGATTACTAAACACATAGGTAATGGTCTTTAACAAAAAGGTTTTTCACAGAAGCCAGAGCAGGGCCTGGCCGGGACGGCTAGTATAAGAATATTAGAGAAAGTTTATGGGAGATCACTCCCGTTTCATTGCACAAAATATTTACCTTTATTTGGTGCGCAATTCATTTTTTTTTACTCGATTCTATTTTTTTTAATTAAGAATTTAAACATGTATAAAAAAAATTAATATAGCCAGATTTTACTTAAAGTTCCATAACCTTTACAATTTTACATAACTAACCGTCACGACCAGGCCCTGCACTGGCCTCTGTGAACACCTATTTGTAAAGGACCATGACATGTGTGTTTAGTAATCAGCAGATACCCGGCATCGCCCACCCTAACCGCAACCAACCAAAACGAATAAACAAACGCAAACACAAACCGAAACCTAACCACAAACTCAAACACAAAGAAAACAAAAACAAACAAAAAAGCAAATCAAAACGAAAACAAACCAAATCAAAGCGCAAACACAACCCCAAACGCAAACCCATCCCAAACACAAAGAAAACACAAACGCAAACATAAACGCAAAGTGCTCATAGTCTATCACGGGGTGCCGAATCGCACCATGTGGGGCGCCGGCGGAACCGCTTGTTTCAGCTTAGTAAACGACTATAGTACCCCAACTTATTCATAGTCCTTTGCACTTACTTAAACGAACGTAGGCGCCATAGCGAACACGGGAAGGACCGGGGCGCAAAATGTTATTTGGAGGGGCGGGCGCAATAAGGAACCGTACAGGGTGACATCCGACTTATCGAAGCCACTGCTATACCCAATGTTGGCAAATCTCAGTTACATTTTAGATAGAAATCACTGTTTTAGGACGAACCAACACACATTTTTTATGGATGGTTGGAAGACTATAGTTTAAGTAATATTTGGGGATAGAGCTAAGACTCTCTGTGAAGTTGAAAAAGTGAAACGTCAATATTGGTTGACCGCAGTCTATTTAATTTGTACCTGTTGATCTGGGGGGGAGGGGGTTAACACGAGTACTGCCTGTTAAAATATATACATTTTATACGCAGATTATGAGTTTTTGTTTGTTTCAATTTTCATACAAGGTAAAGATACGGCCCACAAACATTGCTCAGACTCTTTCTAAAGTTTCATCATTTTAAATGCATTTGTACACAAAATCACGCTAAATCAGTATAAGATGAGTTTATTATTACCAGATGTAACTATGTCTTTACGATAAGATTTTTGTTTACTTGCACATACTAGCACATTGTTTGTGTTGGCCGAGGCTTATGTGAAAAAGTCTTTGTGTGCAACACTGCAGGTTTTTGTCAAGTGATACGGAATTAGTTTCGGGGACTGCAGGCTTTTCCTTCGTTGACAAAGGGTTGGTTTACAAGGCTGTAGATTGTACCCACTTGACAAAGGGTTGGTTTACAAGGCTGTAGATTGCACCCACTTGACAAAGGGTTGGTCTACAGTTGTACTGTTTTGACGATGTGTTATCTTTTGTCCGAGTCATCATTATGTTGCTGCCTGAACCAGGCCCGGGGCACGCGCCGGTCCTGTGGGTATCCTGGCATACAGCCCTGGCTGATTTGGTTCTCGTTCCACGAGTTCCCGTCATGGCAGTTATCCTTGTAAAATCCTGCCACTTGCATGGGAGGGCAAGACTGGCTTTGGATGTCGACCTTTGGGCAACTATTGAACAAGGGCGGGGCTACTGGCTGGTTAACACAGTTACACGGCATACCGACGGGCTGGTTGCCATACATGCTCGGCATGGCGAAAGGCTGGTTGTTGTAGCTGACTGGCATTTCATAATTTGGATACACACAGTTGCCCTGTGGCTGCACGTACGACGGCTGCGACGTATTTTGAAAGCAGCTAAGATAGTCAGTCGGGGGGCGTGACGGCATGCTAGTCATCGGAAAACAATTGTTGACGGATGAAGGTCCAACGGCCTCATAATTATTAGAACTCCCCACGCAATCAACTCTCTGTTGATAATCCATTGGTCCTGTACCGCTCTGCTCATACTTTCTGCTAGGGTAGCACTGTCTATCGGCCAAGTGGCTAGGGTCTTCCATCTGACCGTAACATCTGCTCATGTTTGCAGGTCCTCTGGTCTGCCATGGAGGGATGACAGTTTTACTCCGAAAGAATTCCCGGTTGCATTGCGCTTCACAGGCGGCTTGACATTTTTTACGTTCCATACAATATCTCTGGGCATCCTCGATGTAGTTTTGAGGCTTGGAACTGATGTCGCGATCGCTTGTATGTTGTTTGGGCTGACTGTGATACCCAGAGCAAGATCCGCGGGAATCTTCGTCGTACCGACTTCTTCTAGATCCGCGTTCTGCATTGTCGTCGCTTTCCTCCCCTGAAGAGACCGGTCTTGATGACTCCTTACA